CAGGGAGGAAACGCGGGCCACAGCTCACGGCGGAGCCACGTGAGCAGGGGAGGCAGCGGTCACCACAGCCATGGCTCCAGCCTGACGTGCGAGGTACTCCCGTCTGTGTGGTACAACCGAGCAGGCGGGCTTTGCTGGCTGCTGAGCAGGAACTGCAGACGTGGTGGCACTCTGACCAGCTGAGGGGCTTAGGCTCAGGAAGTACGCTGCGAGTCAAGTTTGTAACACGGCGGAGCCACGTGAGCAGGGGAGGCAGCGGTCACCACAGCCATGGCTCCAGCCTGACGTGCGAGGTACTCCCGTCTGTGTGGTACAACCGAGCAGGCGGGCTTTGCTGGCTGCTGAGCAGGAACTGCAGACGTGGTGGCACTCTGACCAGCTGAGGGGCTTAGGCTCAGGAAGTACGCTGCGAGTCAAGTTTGTAAATGGAAAGTCAAAGTCCGATCAGATATTTTCCCCCCATGAAAACATTTTTTCCAAATTCCCTTGGGTTTAGGGTTTTGTTTCCTGGTCTTTTGGGTATATTTTCCTTCGTTCCTAAAGGTGTTTGCAGTATGCGAAAGCCTGTATTTGCAATTTATAAAAATTGAAGGGAATAGGGTTGTAAGTTAAGGGGAAAAGAATTTTCTTTCTCCTATGAAAGCCCAAAATGCAAAATAAATTGCATTAAGGTAAAAATGGGGAGGAAATAAATAGGTTTTATTTAAAGGGTTTTTTTAGCTTAAATCTGCCTAATTATTTTTAGATGTAGACCTGAGGACATGAGTACATGCAGAGTATAACTAAAATCAGACTCTCCATGGTCATTACTGATTGGTAAATGTAAAGTCCCATTAAGCACAGATGATCTTTGTCTTTATTACACACTTAGTATTTTATAATTGTATGAAGTAAAGGTATCTACATAATAACAGAACAAATAGCTCTGCAATTGCAGGCAATGTCTATGGGAACTCTGCTACTGAGAAGGATTTCAGAATAATTAATTGTCTTGAAGGAGCTGCAGTATAGCAAAATATGTTCTTAATGTGTATACTGCTATGAAGATAGGTAGTATGTATTGTAGGCAGCTATTTGAAATACTAAAATAACGCACAAAATCTTACTAAGTGCATAAAGATAGTTTGGAAGAGCCTTGGATCTGCATCAAAACAATCACGTCTGAAAATTCCTGGTGGTAGTGCAATAATAAAGATTCTAACCAAATTTATTCTTAAATATTGGGGATATAGCAATACGTACCATAAACTAAACTGATGAAGGGCGAGGGCTGCTTCCTGCTATCAGCGCACCTGAACTGGACTGTAGGCTCTCCAGTGAATACACAGAAATACTTAAGCACAGATGGTTGGGGGTTGTTTTTCAGCGCAACTTCCTGGGAGATGTAATTCCACCTGGCATTACGATTGTGGCACAGGCAGTAAGAAGTGACAACAGAAATCAAGGTTATCAAGCTACAACATATGTTCATTCTGATGCTGCCAAAGTTGATGTGCAACTAGTTGTGGTTCAGCTGGCTGAAACCAATTGGAAAGTGTGTGCTGATGCTGTAATACTGCCTCTGAAAGCACAGGTAAGCACACAGGCAGCTTCGCCTAGAGAGACAACTAAAAAGCCCAGATATTTTTAAATAAGCACAGAGCACCTGCTGATTAGGAGAACCAAAGAGGAAGAACATATATATTTGAAAGGTTGCACAAAGTTTGTGAAATTTCAGAAAATGTTCCTCTCTTTCACTGTTCTTTTGAATTAAAAATAAAAAATAAAAAAAAAATCAGCCACTTCAAAATCAAAAAATATATTGACTTTCAAGATACTTCAAAATATGACCAGTAGAAGTATAAAAAATGTTTGAAAAATTGACTGCTTCATTACTACCTATTTATTATTTGCTCTCCTATGAGTTTGCTTGTCTGGGAAACTGGCTGTTTTTCTCTATATAATTAATTTCAGAAGACTCATAACTCAAATGCATTTGAAATGTTATATTTCTTAGGATTTATATGAAAAGATGGAAAAAGTAAAGTTGGGTAATGGGTTGATGTCTGAGAGAGCATCATAAATGAAGGAACAAGTCTTCCCTTTTCTTTCCCTGTGCTGCGCTTCCCATGTGCCTTTTAATGTAAGAGGTCTTTGCGTAACTATTTACAAACCTCTGCTTTTCGTAGCTGGAGTTAACAAATTCAGCATGATATTTCAGTATTGAAAAAAGTGGGATGGGGTTCAAATCAAGAGGTATTGGGGAGGGCTAATAGAAATTATAATGCAGTCGTCTTCTAGAAAAAAAAACGTATTGATTATGAAGTTACCAAGTCTAAGGAAATCTCTGGAAATTACAACAAACCTGGTGTTTCAGGGGCTGCTTTGAGACAGGAACATGTACATGTAGTTCTGCACAGCCTAGCAAACTTTTTTCCTACTATGCCTCAGATTTTTCCGGATGTAGTCAAAATTTCTCTGTGACCCTATTTAGAGCAAAAGAAAGACTTGGAAACACTAGGGATCAACGTGAAGTTTCGGGAAAGAAGAAAAATTTGCATTTTGAAATGGTCAAGGATGGTTCTGTGATTCTTTTCTGAAATTTGGGTGACTGTCTCCCTGTTTGTAAAGGCCAGACTGAGATGGGGCAAGGAGTGCCGGGACTACAGGATAGCAGCCATGGCTACCACAGGCCAACTGGCGAGGAAGCCAGCCGTGCAGCTGAAAGTGCAATGGGGAAACCTTCCATCCTGGATAAAAAAGACAAGCACAGCGTATGTAATTCTCTCTTTCCTAAGTTGTTATTTTGCCTTTCTTATGCTAGTTGGCTTTATTAAAAAACTGAAAAATTGGATGAAATTTTTCAACCCAAACATGTTTGGGGTTTTTTTTGGATGGAAAACACAAGTTCAATGGCACAAAAGTATTGTGTTCTACTTTCTCCACGTTTCATATTAAAAGATATGCCCCAAATATCTAAAAACTTGCTCAATTTCATTTTCCATACGAAGTGATTTGATATTTCAGTTCAAAATGCCTTTTTGTTTTGAAATGTTCTTCTATTCAGTCTCAAAAAATACCCAGTTAAAATGAGTGAAATAAAACCAAGGTGTTTCCCCTTAATTAAATCAACCATTTAATTTGACCCAAAGTATTATTTCTTTGACTTTTCAGTTCTTTCATTGTTTCCCTGATTTTTCAGAACTGCCAATAGTCCTCATCCTCTCATGTCTGCTTTTGCTCATGTACCTGAGTTTGTCACATCTTGTTTATCTCTAGATTCATGCAATATGTTCCTGGTGCAGCACTCATGTTGGGCTTCTCAGAAGTACATCAGAAAAATCCATCCCATGAAATTATAGTAAGGGCAGCTGCAACATCTCCACGAACATTTGATACAGTAATTAAAGCTCCTGGGGTACGTGCCAATTTTTATTTTCCTTTTTCTTACCTTGAATGGATTTTCAACTAATAACGTTTTGATATTTAATGTAAAGAAAAAAAAAGCAAAGCATTCCTTTTTAGAGAAGCTGCTATATACCTGACTACGTTACATGGGTCTTGAAATACATACAAGAGTACTCTTGATTTTGTGCTGCTTTGGTGCAATGTAGCAATAAGTTGAAAATCAAACTCTGTAGTCAAATATCTTATTTCCATGCTGAGAACAGCAGTTAGGCCCAAATCGTCTTAAGTACGACTGCTCTGCACTCACACCTTTATTCATTTCACCCAGCGGGACTAGTTCTGTAGGATGTATAGGGGTCTCAGAGCAGATAAGGGAGGCCTTGCACTCTTACAACCATATACAGCATCTACCTGTGTTGGCACGCAAGTCCCACGCCTGCAGTAACCATGCTTGATGAGACAGGTCTGAGCAAGTTATGACAGCCACAAATACAGCCTGCGCTAACCAAACTGGAGCAGTTAGTTACACTCTCAGAGCAGCTTGCACAGGCTGGATCTGCAGAATCCCACTGATTAATTGGTCCTTGTCCACCAAATCCCAATGCACCGCTTTGAAAAATTTCCCCTATGGATCTCTGGCAAATTAATAACAGCCAGCTATTCATACACAGAGAAATTAGTGTGTCTTTAACCTTCCATGGTGCTTCAGTATTGCAGGATCTTTAATACATGATAATGAAGAAGTAGGCACACCAGGCATTAATTTGATTCTCTTCGTAAATGTAATTTGTAGCTACAGTGAGGGATCTTACCCCAGTGCTCATCATGCCAGTTTTCAGCCTGTAATGGATGCTGTTCACTTTTCCAGACACATCCATCAACTTACTCAGTTACTTAACTTGTTACCTTATTTTTTAAAGAAGTCACTTAATTATCACTTAAACTTCATCTGTGTCAGTTACTTTCCAATGTCCTTAACAATTTCTCAAAAAGTCAAGCGTGACTAGAAGAGAAGACAATGATTCCTGACAAAAGCTTAAGGTTTGGGTGCATCCTGGAGAGACTAACACATCTGCAATTGTATAAATGCACCTTCAAGATTTTTTTTAAGATAAGAGTCTTTTTTTGTTTTCAGTCATATCTTGAGCAATATGGTTCAATTTATCTTAATGTATTTTCATTTCTGCTTTTTCAGGTAACGCTTTACTATCAGGCACTCCGAATGCCATTCACTCTGCCCTTAGGCCCATCTCCAACTTACGAGACTCGAGATATCACTGCCTGGAATTTATTTCCTGAAATAGCTTCACAAATAGCACAAGAAGATCAATGTAAATATTATTTACATGCTTGTCTCATGAATAAGCAATGTTTGCAGATCCGTCCTCTGCCGTGACTGGGCTTTGCCTTTCCATGTAGTGGTCTTATAGGGGAGTATAGTGTCTCTACACCTGCTTTCTCAACAGCTCATTCCTTCACTTAGAAGCATGTTTGTTGGCAGGTGAATGAAGAGACTTCAAACTGATGTAAATATTCAGAGTTCAGGAATCAATCCTGTCTGCAAGTCCTAGAGGTTGTCTTTTGCCCCTTCTAAGAAGGTGCCATCTCTGCATTGAGAGCCATCAGATGATGGGTACAAGACAGATCTTGTATTTTCTGCCCTGTTTATTTTCTTCAAAAAGGAGTCATGTGAGTCTTAGCCGGTTGGTGCCTAGCACTTCTGTGGGAAATGTGAACTACTTTTTATCATGGTTACTAGTTTTAGTTTCTCAAGAATTTGATACATTTTAGTCCCTGTTAGCTTGAGTTTTGTGTTTAGCATGTAATCAAAATCAATACTAGTATAGTCTATATCTGGTAGTTATTCTGTAGTGCTATCCTGTCCTTACAGACTCTGGCAGCATTGAAAGCTTCTGCCAAGGAGATGTGGAAGTTTCTTTCCTGTTTGCTGGGTAGTTCAATCTCACAGAAGTGGCCTTCAATACTTTGCAGCAGCACACATGCCATTGTCACATCTGTCATTTCTTTTCTGGTTTTGTTTTGCAGCCACATGTGAAGTCGGTGAGGGAGATTTCAAAACATTCGATCACATGAGCCGTACATATTCTTTCAATAAAAGCTGCAACCTGATAGTGGCCCAAGACTGTACTGAGCACCCAAAATTCATCATTACTACAAGAAAGGTTGATTCTCAGTCTTTCTCAAGAGAGGTTCACATAAATACAACCTCAGCGTAAGTGTGGTTTATCCTGAGGGCTCAGGAATTAGGTATAAAGTTTCAGGGAGTTAGTCTGGGGATGGGAGATGTCTAGCTCCTAGGTGAAACTGGTTTGCAGTCAGATATTTGGGGAAAGATGGGATTTCCAGAAGGAATCCTCATCTGACACTCTTTGGTTTAGTTGCTCATCTTCAATTTCACAGCCATCGTTATCTGATAACCTGCTCATTATGCCCCCAGGCTGTCTTTTCTTTAAAGGTTGAATCTCAAAACCCAACATCCCAATGAATTTTGCACTTTGGAAAGAAAACAGCTCATTCATTCGTTCAAAATTAGATATTCAGATTGGTTCTCTGCTAGCTTTGGTCACAAATATCTCTACTTCTCACATTTTAGATTAACCACTAGTTTCTTCTTTTTTTTTTTCCTTTTCTAAAGGAACATCACAATCTGTCCTGCCCCAAATTTCTCTCTCCTTGTGGCATGCAACGAAGAACCAGTTCTATCACACAGTGGAGTTTCTGAGTATGAAAAAGGTAAGCTGTGATACCCACTTTTCCAGGACTAACCTGGAAACTAAATATCTTCAAGATGTTTTTATAAATTCCACAGAAAAATCTCAATGTAAAGAAAACACAAGTGGGATTAATTCAAAGAAAAACTAGAGACTTTACTTTCTTAAGATTTATATTGACTTGCTTTCGTGTTTCCTATAGTATATACACTCTTACTTTCCCCAGCATAACTGAGAGGTAAATAAAGCCTTTTCTTACATATATGGTATGTCCAGGTTGGTGATTGTTTAGAAAAAAAGTGCTTGTTATAGTCACAGTTAGATGCTTTGGTTCAGATATTTAGCTGGAGCACCACCAATGTCATTATCATTTCGAGACTTAGCAGACTGGATACAAAAGTCAGTTCCAACAATAGGGAATAGCAGTAGAATATTTTTACAACTAAAGAGATAATTTCTTCTATTTTTGCTTTCTCTCTCCACAAAAAAAAAAAAAAATCCAACTGTAGCAGCAAAATTATCATTGTGAAGGAAAATGCATTATGGTGTATTTTGTGCTACTCAGTTTCTCCATTGATTTGAAATTAAGCAAATCACCTTATGATTCACTATCTTTTTACAGACAATGTCAAAATTTATAAAAATGGAACAACAGTTATTGTGGAAGCTCCAACACACGGACTGAAGAATGTGACTTTTGATGGTGTGATCCTTAAGGTATTGGGCTTACTTTCAAGGTTACTATTTTCTTTCTGTTTAGTACCTTGGCAATGTAACAGACCAACACTTCAGTATTCTCTACAAAGATGTCCTATTTTATAGGTTACTGTTGCTTCATGGATGAGAGGAAAGACCTGTGGAGTTTGTGGAAATAATGACAGAGAAAAGCACAATGAACTCCTCATGCCAAATCATAAGCTGGCACACAGCTGTTCTGCTTTTGTTCATTCATGGGTATTGCTAGAAGAAACCTGCTCTGGTGGTGAGTAGATCTGAAAACAATTTATGCTTGGGGAGAATATGATTTCACTTTTCCTCTGCCAATACCTAGAATTTTTTTTTTTTAAAAGCAGCAGATATCTTTTACTTAGAAAAGACAATATCAATATATATCCATTTTAATGTAATTAACTACTGACTGTTTAAAACACTGCCTGTGAATACAGAGAATATATACTACTGCAAAAGTCTTTGTCTCACATGCAGTTCAATGTTAAATAATTGATTCTGCTATAATTTCTTACACTGAGTAGCTTTTTTCTTGGAGAGGCAAAATCAGGCCTAATCTTGCTCCCACGGCAGTAAGTGTGATTTTTACCACTGAATCAAAGCAGTTTCAGCTGTTGTCTGCAGACTTAATTTAATCAAACAAGTTGCAGGGTATGAATGCAGTGTCAGATCGTAAGTTTATGTAAATTTTCAGAGTGCACAAAATTTCATTTTTGTTCTGCATCATCTGAGGGTGCAATCTCAGGGAAATATTTAGAAATACTCCTAAAGTAAATAAAGCTTCCTCTCACATGTAGCTGGAAAAATAATGATGGTCTCCATAACATCAATACAGTTTTGTTCTGTAGGTCTCCATTTACCCTGCACCTGAGATAACTTTATTGAAGTTAATGGTTGTTTTCTCCTTGACTTCAGTGGCAGCAGAATTGTACTTATCTGTGTGTCAGGAAACGGAGTCATAGCTGGGATCCTGTTAAGTTACATTATACCTTTCTAGTGAGATAATTGCAGCATTATAAAAATCATCCAATACAAAAATTATCCTTGATGTTATTACATAAATGCTGCCTTTTTTTTTTATCCATTCACTACAGTTGACATTTTTCCTAATGCAATGAAGTAGCCATTGTGCTTGCAGTATCTGTTCTTAATAGCTTTCAGACATGAGAGGTTATTTTCTGTGTATTATGTAGTTCTAAAAAACTGGGTATACATGATTCCATTTGGGTTATATTGTGCAATTAGATTTTAAAAATAGCTCCCTTTTCAGACTCTTTCCTCTATCCCCCAACTTATTATCATCCTATCTCGATAACCTCACTACTGTGAAAATGGTTTGTCAGGCACCTGTGTTTTAATAAAAGCTGAAGAGAAAATATGGACCTTTATTATTGCAGGGATCGATTGGGATTTATTTCTACAATTTTAACTACCCTTCCTTTTCCTCTTAGGGTGCAAGCTGCAGCGCAGTTATGTGAAGCTGAATCGAAATCCTACTATTGATGGAGAGGAATCTACGTGCTACTCTGTTGACCCAATACTGAAATGTATGAAAGCCTGTACTCCAATCGAAAAAACTTCAGTTAAGGTTGGCTTCCACTGTTTCACAAAAGGTACGATATTTTTCTCTCTCTGTGTCACATACTCTAGGAGCTCTGTCAGAGCACTCGAAAGAACTAAACACAGCACAGCCACGCACAGACCGGTATTGCTGCGCCTCCTCTCTGAGCTGCTGTTTTTAATCCCATTAGTATTTGCTATAACCACTGACAGTACTGGCCAGCTAAAAGCTAGTTTAGACGATGGCAGGTAGCACCATCGGAGAAAAACATTTGAGGTGGTAAAAGGGGCAGCAGTGATCCATAAAATTTTTTTCACATTTTCAGGATCTCCATAAAGTTGAGATAAGCAACACTAAGTCCTTTTATGCACATTACAGCCTGCAATTTTGTGTAGACCAGGGCAAGCAAGGCAATTGAAAATCAGTCAAGTAGTGTGGCATGACTGTTGTGATTAGGCTGCCATGCTATGTCACTGTGCAATACATCAGCAAAAAACACGTTGCTGAAATGTTCTCTAGATTGTTCCAAAAATGGTTTGGTTTTGAAGGTATTTTATACACACACACCCCAGATTTTTAAAAATACTCGGCCTTTTTCTCCTTTCACTCATACCAATTTATCATGGATGCGATGCACTGTCAAACACAGGTTCACGCTAAAGTTATACAAGCATGAAAGGAGAATCCAGCCTGGAACATACAGATATTTCTGTTGCATTTCTTCCTAAATCTTTTAATGAATTACACAGTACATATATACCTTAGAGGGAAACCTACCATTAGGAAGTATCTACTGAAGTGGTCTGTTCTCTGTGTTAACCATTGTTGGCCAAATCCATTGTTAGCTGGGATAATCCAGTGTAGTTTCACGGAAGCCAATAGATTCCTGTGTTGGGTAATACTGGAGAGGAACAGAGTATTTTCTGTCTGATTTTAAACAACATCTATGTAGAACTTTGCTCGTGTTATTAATGTGCTGAATCAGCCCATAAAAGCAATGGGTATCTTTCTATAATAGTCAACCATCTACAACTGCGTATTCAACAAGTAGCACAGAGAGAGTGTTAATAGTTTTCTGACGGCTCCCTGAGATGTGAATAGATGCATCCTTTTATGAAAAGAAAAACCCACCCTCAACAAAAAAAAACTTCCAAAATCTTGTCATATCCATGTTTCACAGATTTCTTTCGTGTGTCCAAGTCTGTATCTCTGAAATGTCATCACCCCAGGCCACTCGCTGCCTCAGAATATTAGGCTATAATAAAGCTGTCTCATTCTCTCACAAAAATGTGTGAGAAAAGAGGAAAATCAAAAAAAAGATATGTTAGTCGTCGCAGCCAGTGCTGCTTTTACAGCAACTGCGGGCTTCTCTGGTTCATTTACTGAACCAGAGACTGGGAAGTCTGCTAGAAGAACTCCTAATCAAGGGCTTTTTTAATTTATCCATCCTGAAGAGAAGGAGGAGGAGGAGGAGGGGGAAGAAGGGGGGAAAGAGGAGGAGGAGGAGGAGGAAGGGAAAAGAGGTTTTTTGTGTTTTTTTAGCAAGATGATTGCTTTTTCTCAGGCTAAGGATCAATAGCAATACAAGGCCAGCCCTTAAAAACTGTTCTTCTTCTTTCTTTGTTCGATGACTTGGAGAAGCAGCAGAAACAAAATCCCCACCTTTCTCAAGCTGAGAACATTTATTTGCATACACGAGAACTCAGATCTGATAGTCTGCTGTTTTAAAAGAGAGGGACACCATCACTGTCACTGGTGGAGCAAGGATAAAATGAAGTACAAGAATGCAGAATTTCCCCTCTTGTCCTCAAATCAGTGAGACTGTAGTCTTAGGATCTTGACTGAGGCAGACATCACTCCAAGTTTAAGTCCACATATTGTTTTACATTTCAAACATGCCAGAAGCCCTCCCCATAGGGATCGTAGTTACTCAGCTATGATCCATTTTGCCGAGGGAACTATTTCCTACATGGATATGAATGTGATCAGACCCACAGTGTGCCCAAGAGTAAGAGGCATAACAAGAATTAACATATATAAAAAACAGAACCCAGACATTTCATAACATTTCTCATTTCACAGCTTGAAAATATTACATATTTTTAAAAAGCATCTCCAGCACCTTTCTGGGAAATATTTATTACCCAGTTAGTTTATTATGCAAAACCTCTGCTTCAGGTTGGACAGTAATTTAGACAAGGAGAGTGTTGGCACTTCAGGAGATAAGTGACTGATACAACCTGAACCCATACAGCGGTCTCCAGATTTCCCTGTGATGAGAGATGGCATGTTATAAACGTATTGTCCAACCAAGGGATAAAACGAACGGAGGCAAAATTATGAAAGCTTTACCCGTTCTCATTATATGAACTTAATCTAAATGGATGTCCTAATATTCTTCCAGATGCAATGATAAACCTCCAACTAGCTAAGAATATTTATTGGGAGGATGAATATCATTATTCCATTTAGATTATTTCAGCATTAAGGGATATGGCTTATTCAAGCTGCTGTTGATAAAGCAGTGTGGTAAGGTTAATACTGCAACTGACAATGCTCTGCCAGACTTCACAATATATGGGAAACTTTAATTAGAAGTTTATGAACCTCTGAAAATTCTCCAAAGGGCTTATCCTTCAGAATGAACTTCGACAAATAGTCAGCTGAAATACGCAGTGCTATGCAGCTCTAACATAAAAAGAGATTGCTGATGTGTATTGGTACGCGGAGGTCTCACTTTGAAGGTGGCTACCTCCAGCACTTTTACAGGCTCCTGCCTGTTGTCTTTGTGCTTCATGAAATGTTATTCATTTTGGTTTTAGGGAAGTATTATAGTAATTATATCATGGATGAAAATCCTGCTCCAAGTCAATGAGGCAGTTAGATGTCAGTTGTGGGGGGCAGGATTTCATTCTTTACTTGATGAGGGAGTTGGCAGCCATCAAAACAGTATTTCCTTGAAATGTGTTAATTTGCTTGATGCTAGTTAACAATAGCTTCACTCTCCTGACAGATACTGCTGTAAGCCTGCTGGAATGGCAGAGAAGCAGCGATAAGAAATCTGCATCTGAGGATGTTGTGGAGTCTGTGGATGCTGACATTGATTGTACCTGCACTGGCGACTGTAGTTAAGCTAAACACTTCAGTGTTGTGCTATAGACATACTATACAAATAATTGAATAGCTGGACAGATAAGAAGGGAACGTAATAGCTGTAGTAAAATATTAAGAAATGTGCTTGAAGAAAATAAGTCTACTGCATTGCATCCAAAGTCAAATGCATTATGTACAGTCTGCACTGCTTAATAAATATGTTGTTCATTAAATAAGTATTCATGTGGTCTCTCTCTTTATTTTTCCCTATCAACAAAACAATCAGACCAACTGTAATATTATCCAGAAATTCTGCTTCCTTTTATTTGAAATATAATTACAGCAGTCCTCTCTTAAAATTATGTTCACTAGGTGATGAAAAGAAAACATGATTACGGCTACTGCTGACATTCCATTGTGCAAAGAATTTCATATTTAGCATACTAAAGACACAGTAAGCATTTGTTTTCTTTTATGCTTTCTGGTAAAGAGCAAAGTCTGTTCTTGGAACCGTTTTGCAAAAAAATACATTTTACTCCCAGCAAGACCATTAGCCTTAGTACATTCTACAAAGGAATGAATTGGACTGCTAGACTCCCACTGTAGCTTTCCAGAGAGCTATAGTGTGTGACACAGTCCCCATTTTCATTTAAATTTCAATGGATGTGCTGTTGCTTCATGAGCTAAAAGTATGAATAGGACCTTTTTTTTTTTGGTTTACCATCTCCTATTGTATATCTATGAAAATGATGCCTTCAAAAAGTTCAAGGAACAATAATACATCAGGTAGCATTCCAATACTCCAAAAAAGTAATATATAGAAAAATATGTAAGATCAATAGCATCATAAAGCTAAAATAAAGTACAAGCAGGACAGTTAGACTGTGTTTAACCAGTGAAGTGTCAATCTGCTAGCTTTCACTAGGCCTATGCAGAAAGGCAATTCTCTCCCACCCCAGGCGACCAGGAATAGGTGGCACCTTCAAACACCAAGCAACAGCACAATATCTCTTCACCCTGTACACGAATCAGCCATGTAGTGAGCCATGATACGTTTTCCATAACAGGCAATAGCAGCCAGCCTGCTATTCCGAGAAGCCTTAACATGGGCAAGGTACTGCTGAA